CTCTTTCAAACATTAATCACATTGTTCTTGTTTAGTTGCCCTACAATTCCAAAAGGAAATGTATCTAATGAGCAGCATGATTCACAGTAACTTTCTGAAGAGCTGAAGTAGAGGTACTACTTAAATGAGAAAGGAACACTATCATGATGGTCCCAAGGAAGCTGAAAAGAAAACACGTGGAAAATGTACAGGATATGCTTGCTGAAGCAAGCCCTGCATCCTTTAACCATGCTCAAACTCTTACCTGATCTGAGTTTGGGGACATATATGTAACACACTACAAAACTGTAACAAAAGTACTAAATATCTCATGCACTTGATTGAATACAGGGCCCTTTAATCACTGCTTGTTCACCCCTGGTGCCCTGTTGCTGACAGAGCAGAGATTCATTACTGCTCTCCAGCATCTTGTGCACGTATTGTACCAGGTATCTCTAATGTGCAAAAAGACTAAAATGAAAAACTCAAAACAAGATTTGCATTGAATAATTTGTATTTTATGCTTCAATACTGTAGATTTATAACTAGGACTAGGGCATGCTAAATTAGTTACTGTTCAATGGAGAAAAATCACACAATTTATATTCGATATCCAAAGAATACATTGTACAATTCCCCACTGTGGGCCCTATAACAGTCCTGGTTCACTCTCCCAAGTGCCGGAGAGTAAAGGTGAACAACCATGCCTCACTAATTTTTACTTTATCCAACCACTGAAATCTTGGCAAATCATGATCAACAAAGAACCCCAACCTTAAACTGGCATAATGGCAATGCATATCATCCCTGCAATCACTGAGCTACAAAAACAATCAAAAGATAGTTAAATATTTGAGGTTACAAGCTCAAAGAAAGTTTTCATAGTTTAGTTTCTGTAAAATGAAAACGATGACCCCTTGAAATCTTCCACGTCCCGAGGCAACTCCTCTCATTCTACTTCAAAGATGGTGCCCACAAAACTTTTTAACGTACACCAAGGCCAGTCTCCTAACTTCTAATTTTACCTTAAAAATCATTACAAGACTGAGTTAGTGATAACACAAGTTATATTTATCTATTATCAAGTTCTCTTTCTTTTAGTCAACCCAAAGATTTGTGAAGCAAGCACACAAGTCTTCCTTTAGGCTTACTCTTAAGAATAATCTGATATTCAGAGATCTCCGATGTTGTTAAGTCCTACTATTTTGTAGACAGGCCACACTGACTCCATTTTGTCCCAGACACATCCGGTTGATAGTGTTTTGATAGAAAGTGCAGGGCTTGAAACTTTCTCCCTCATGAAGTACAACATGAGGTCCCATAAGGACAAGAAGCAAGCAAGTCATATAATCTAAGCATGTGCAATACAAGTTTCTGTGTTCTTTTCCTCAATAAAAACTGTTTGCTTATGCTGGCTGGGTGGCAGTCACTTTGCTTCCCCTTAGTGTGTATGCCCCTTTATTTTCCCCTTGTTTGCAGAGCCTCTACATCTGGCACCTGAACAGGGGACTTGACAGTGGGTATGTCTGCTGTGGAGGATGACTTGCCTTCCCTGTGTTCCTGGGGTGGGATACGGCCCCCAACATGTCAACTTCGCTTTCTTTGGACAATCCCTGGGTAAGTCATGGGGAATTCCTTGTCTAAAGTGCAAGAGAAACGTAAGGTAGAACTGCTTTTTTTATTTTTTAATCGGTACCAGGGATCAAACTCACGACCATGCGCTTGCAAAGCAGGCGCTTATGCCGCTGAGCTAAATCCCCAGCCCCTGTAGAACTGCTTTTTCTCCTTAAGAAGGCAGGCTATGTGGGGGAGTGTAATTTAGTACAACTTTTGTAAGAAATTGACAATTATTGTCCTTGCTATCCTAAGGGAGGTACACTTATTATGGAGGATTGGGAAAAGATAGCAAACTGATACATGCGGGGCCTCAAGCTCCCATCTCTGTCCTGCACACCTGGCATCTCTGCTGGGATGCTGATGCCACCTTTGGCAAGCAAAGAAACAGATTGCCACATGGCTGACTTCCAAGTCCTCCCAGGTGTGCCCCGCTTCTGCTGTCTCTACTTTAATTGGGCAAGGCTCTACTTTCCTTTGACCACTCAACAATTGGCTCCTCTGTTTGATGCTTTACGGGGTCACACGGTTCCTGCTGAGGTGATCTCTGATTCCCTCCTCCTCAGCAGACCCTTCAGAGCATGGCTGACACACTCACCACAGTTATGATGGATTGAGCCCCAAGAGCTGCCTTCTCTCCTTACTTACATTTACCCCACTTGCCTAGTACTACTTATTTCCCATTATCATGTTATTTCCTGTCATCTCTGGAGGACATACCCGAGTATTTATACTCCTAGGCACTGATGTACTGACAATTGTTTTACCACTTACCAAAGCTGACTTCTCCTCTCTGCTGTCCCCTACTGTTTCTCTTCAAGTTGCTTTGGCTGTGTTGGTTCCATTTCTTTCAAAACACCCCCATACCCAGGTTGGCAGGGGCCAGCACCTCTGCTGACCTGGGAAGGAAGGGATGCTTCAGTGCTATCCCCAACAGGCCCTGTGTGGACTCCTGCTCACTGTGTTTGCCCTGCATGAAATGAATTGACACCACAGGCTGCACAACCCAGTTCCAGTTTCACCTCTCCCTAAATCAAGCCCAGCCTCTTTGAAAGCAACCCAGGACCATGACTGCTGGCCAGTGACCTGGGATGATATGAAGGTGCTGACCCAGTCTGCACAAAACTAGCTCCATGCATCTGAAGAGAAACGAAGTGCTGAAAAGCTTCTTGTGGTGGAATTTACCAAACTGGCAACAAACTCTTTAGTGCATGTTTGTATTTGCAGCCCACCATGGGGACCTTAGCATCCCATGACCTCCAGGAAAGATTGGAATGCAATATTTGGGTTCAACTGGCAAAAACAGCTAATGTCTCTCATTTCTATCTTCCAGAAAAGAAATTACACCATTTGCCCCAGTATTCCAAACAAAATTGCAACATATGCTATCTAAATTGGGGCACTCTCACCCTTAAAAACCCTGATAATGCTGTTAAAAAGTTCACTCCATATTTGGCAACTTCAAATGCCTCATATGCTCATATTGGAAATTTTACCTCTCAATGCCTGTAACTTACTAATAGTATTTGGCATTGTTCTAGTTATGAGCCAATACTACATACTATCCTTATCTGTTTAGTCCCTTTGGGATGCCTTGTACAATGCATCCCATCTCTATGCAAAATGTTCATACCTAAAATACTAGCTTCTAATGTGGCAAGAAAACCTAAACTAAAAAAAAGAAAGGGGAGAGAGAGGCCACACTGATTCCATTTTGCCCTGAACACATCCGTTGGACAGTGTTTTGGACAGGCCTTGAAACATTCTCCCTCTCTACTCAAAGGTAAAAACATGAGGTCCCATAAGGACAAGAAGCAAACATATTATGTAACCTAAGCATGTGCAATATGAGTTTCTTTGTTCTTTATCTCAATAAAACCTGCTTGCTTATGCTGGCCACGCAGCAGCCGTTTTACTGACCCTTGGTGTGTGAGCCTCTTTACTTTCCCTTTGCCTGAAGAACCCCTACACTCTTTGGGACTCATCACCTTGCCACTTGCTTCCACATCCTTCCATACTCCTTTGATACACCCTAAACAGAAAACCCGTCATGTCTAACCTTTGATATCCCCACACCACTTCTATTTGGGGCTTCTCTTTTATGCCAGTAATAGTTTTGGAATCTATCTCAGAGAGCATTTCAATATTTAAACAATGTCAATGATCAGCCCAAGCTTTACAATTATTAATTCAGAGATGACAACATTGTTCCATTCTACTCATACAGGTATCACATTAATATGTCCACGGAAATTTCCACGCTCAGGCGTTATTCTGCAATGGACTTTGTGCTTAGTAAGCACACTTTACTCTGTCCTTGCTAATAGTTTAACATCTGTGCTATATTTTTCAGAAATCAAAATCTATGGCTATTCTCACTTAATCAGTCTGTGAGTAGGGTGCCAACTACATAATTAAGTAAGATAAGAAATTTCTTTTGTATTGCTTTGTATGGAACAGAGGAGTTCACCAGGTGTTTGGTAAGTGCTCCTCCACTGAGGCACATCACCACACTTCTCTGAATTCTTGGGATCTTAGTCAATACCAATCATGAGTTTGGAACTATGAGGTCATGCCGGAAATTTAGGAGATCATTGTAAATATAAAAGGCTGGTTTGAGGAGAGCAGGTGTGGCTATGAGGTCGTGGGTCACAGACATTTATAAACTTCAGGCTTCCAGATTTGTAGCTGACAGGAATGAGAGCAGAGACCTAACTTATTACTGTTATGGCCTAGCTCTAACCGAAGTGCCTCTGTCCCGTTCTGTAGGTGCCCTTTCGACAGGATTAAATTTCCATTTCCAGTAAAGGCTTCAGTTTCAGCTTCTTGTAAATCCCCCCCAACTCCCCTTCCGCATGTTTCTGCAAGGTGTGCTGTTCCGGGAAAATGTTTAACCACAGAGAGCAACGGAATGTACCAAGAATCCCAGATGTTAAAAACTCCGCCCTTGGTCTATTAGGAGTCCAGTCTTCCATATTGGCTACTGGAGGATGCATCGCCAGGCCTGGAAATAAAGCCTTTGCTCCAAATTTCTTAATTTCTTGCTTCCTTGGACTTTATTCCGGGGTCAAAGCTATCACAATTACAGCTGCACCCAACTCCAAACCACATCGGAGTCAGGGACTCCCCAATCCCTTTCTTGTGCCCAGACTGTTAGGGGAGCAAGGGCAGCAGGGGATTTCAAAGATGGCATTATGTGGTCTGTGGACAGGGTTTTAGGGACCCAGAACTCTCCCTGGCCCAGCGAGAGATAAACGGGACAGAGGATGAGTCACTGCTAGCCCTAAAGGACCTCAGGGTCTGACGCTAAGCAAGCAGGCTCTAGACAGCACACCCGCTTCTCACCACTTCTAACTGGTCTTAACCTGATTCCACCCCATTTCACTGCTCCCATTCCGTAACCTCACCATTGCGTATTTCGGAGGTCTCCCAGTTCTTTCTAAGCAGTCCACAGCGAATAGAAGCCACAAAATGCGGTCCAGCAAACATCAAGCTCTTCCCCCGACACACAGTAGACGCCAAGACACAGGAAGAGACCGCCTACCTTGGCCCGCCTGATTGGACAGTTCATACAGCCCGCCTCTTCAGCACTGATTGGCTCCTACTCTTCTGCCCAGCTTCCCCACCAAGAATAATTACAGAAGCAAACTCCACCTTGTAACTGTGGATCCCCAAGGAAAGATTGTGGAGATTTCTGGAGGTGGCTGTGTTCTGCAATGTTGACTTCAGCTCGTCTGACGGGTATGTGCACTAAAGGGTTTTACCCCAGCCTTTTTTTCTTTTTCTCCAAATCCATTTTATTTCAAAGATTAAAAAAAAGGGCGGGGGCAGTCCAGGGTTTTAGCTCGGCGTCATAAGCGTCTGCCTGGCAAGCGCGAGGTAGTACGTTCCATCCCTGATACTAAAAGAAAATAAAACTAAAAATTTCAAAACATGTCAATCAGGGGTCAACAATGGTATATACATTATGCATTGTCATCCCCATGTCATCCACCCAGAGTACAAGACATCTGCATTCACTTTTCCAACAATACCAGCATAAATTTTCCTTGTCAGTGAACTCAGAGAAATTAATAGTATAACTATCCCATTAATATATATATATATATATATATACTCATATACATGTTTGTCTTTCAGCTTTACACACTAAACGAAACAGTGTTTACACATGCGTGTTTTATTTCACTGAGTGTGTTCACAAGTTGCATCCATTTATCGAATAAAATACTCCAGTTTATCTTTCTTTATGGGTACTCCATGACATAAAAATACATCTTTTTTGTCCATTGCTTAGTCAATGGACATTTAGGTCAGAATCTGGCTATTACAAACTGTGCTGCTGTAAACATGGGTGCAGATATATCACTGTGGTAAGACGTTTTTAGTACTTAAGGGTAGATAGCCAGAAGAAGAATAGCTGAGTTGAATGGGACCTGTAGACCTAGTTTCTGAGGAATCTCCACTGATTTCCACAGTTGTTGCAGCTCTCTGCATTCCCATCAACAATGAAGAAGGGTTCCTTCCCCCCCACCAACTACCTACCCCTCCAGTATTTGTTGTTGCTTGATTTCTTGATAGTAGGCATTATTTCTGGGATAAGGTGGAATCTCAATGTTGTTTTAATTTGCATCTCTCAAATGACCAGTGATGTAGAATATTTGTCACATATTTATTTGCTGTTTCTATTTCTTCATCTGAGAACTGTGTATTTCATGTCAGATGCATATTTTTGGATTGAGTCTTTAAATCTGGGAAGACTGAATTTTTTGAGTTTTTATATGTTCTCTATAGTAATTCTTTGTTTGAGGAACAGCTGGCAAACATTTTCTCCCATGTTGTGGATTGTCTCTTTACTCTGTTGGTGGTTTCTCTTGCTGTTAAAAACCTTTTCAGTAGGGTGAGATCCGAGTTGATTCTTTGTGATGGTTCCTGCCTAATCCGCATTTTGTTCATAAAGTCTTTGTTTACATGAGTGTCTTCAAGGGTTTTATTTACTCTATCTTCCAACAGATTTAATGTTTCTGTTTTAATATTAAGATCTTTGATCTATTCTGATCTTAGCTTAATAAACCTTGAAAGATATGAGTCCAGTTAATATTCAGCATGTGTAGAGCCAGTTTTTCCAGCACCATTTATTGAAGAGGCTGTCTTTCTTCCAGTGAATGTGTTTGGCACGTTTGTCAAAGATAAGATGGTTTACTGTGTCTGGGGTTGTTTCTCCATCTTCTAATCTGTTCCTTTGATTTATGGGTCTGGTTTTGTTTTGTTGTTTGTCAGTACCATACTTTTTTTTTTATCACAGTAACTTTATAGTACAATTTCAAATCAGGGATTTGAAAACCCCTGTTTTGTCTTTGTTGCCCAGAATCACCTTTGCTATTCTAGGTCTCTTCTGGTTCAAGATGAATTTTTGGACTTTTTTTGTCTAATTCTGTGAGATATGCTGTTGGGCTTTTGATTGGGATTGCACTGAATCTGGATAACAGTTTTAGAAGTACAGTCATTTTCACTATATTGATTTTTCCTACCCAAGAGCATGGGATAGCTCTCCATTTTCTAATATTCTCTTGAATCTCCTTTTCCAGTGTACTGTAGTTTTCAATGTAGGAGGTCATTTACATCCTTTGTTAGATTGATTCATTTTTTTGGATGCTATTGTAAAAGGTATTGTTTCCCTGATTTCTCTTCCCATGAGTTTGTTATTTGTATATATTGAGACTATTGATTGTTGAGTGTTGACTTTATAACCAGTTACATTACTGAATTTGCTTATTAAATCTAGCAGTCTTCTGTGGAATTTTTAGGGTCTTTTATTTCTTTTTCTTGTCTGATTACTCCAGCTTGTTTCCAAGACTATGTTGAATAAGAGTGGTGACAGTGGACATCCTTGTCATATTCCTGATTTTAGAGTGAAGGTTTTCAGTTTTTGTCCATTTAGTTTGATGTTTACTGCTGGTTTGTCATAGATGGCTTTCATCAGATTGAGATAAAGATCACCTATTCCAATTTTTGTCGGGTTTTTATTATGAACGGGTGCTGGACTTTGTCAGAATCTTTTTCTGTATCTATTGAAATGACCAAATGATTGTTGTCTTTGGCTAGGTTAATACAGTATGGATTTATGTATGTTGAACCATCCCTGGATTCCTGGGATGAATTCCATTTGATCATGGTGTACAATCTTCTTGATGATTTTCTGCAGTCTGTTTGCCAGCATCTTATTTAGGACATTTGCTTCAATGTTCATTAGGGAGATTGGCTAGTACTTCTCTTTCTTAGTTGGTTCTTCTCTGGTTCAGGTATCAGGATAATGCTGGCTTCCAGGAATGAATTTGGAGTACCACTTTCCATTCAATTTCATTAAAAAGTTTGAGCAGTAGTGGTGTTATTCTTCTCTAAATTTCTTCATTTACCCATGCCTTTTCATGGCTGCTCCTGCTTTCTTTCAGGAATCAGTGGACTCTTTCCATAATGCGCTGCAAATATTTTCAGAAGAATTCAGGGTCAGTTCCCCAGAGAGGATTCAATCTGCTGATCTCAGAAAATATTCTGAGCCCAGGCCATGGCAGGACACAACAGAATAGAGGGACGGAAGGCTGTGTGAGAGACAGCAGATGTCATTTTGAAGATTTTTACACGTATTCTCTCTATTAATTTTCCACCTAGAAACCCAGTATGTGAACACAAAAGGAGCACAATTACTGTGTAAAGTGAAAACATTACCTTTAAATGATAGTAATGGTCTGCAGCAGAGTAAAGATGAAAGAAAAGCAAATATGCCAATTCTCCAAGACAAGCTTGCTACTCACTCAGACTCATAAAAATCCTGAATTCTGAAAGTGATCATATTGCCAAGCGTGGGAGTCACAATTATTGCTGAAATGGAACAAATTCCTAATCCAGTTAAACATTTCCTTCTGATGATGCAGGGACCACCTAAGGACTTCAAACTCTAAGTTCCCCTTGCCTTATAGTTCCCTTGTCACATATTGACACTCTGCTCGTCAGGGCACTGAACCCAGGAGACAATGTCATGAGGCTGGTGGTATGCACATCACCTCCTCAATAAGGCCAAAGTGGTTAGAGATGCTGGAGGTAAAAAGTGGAAATACTTTAACAACCCAAACAGTTGGAATAAAATATACTGAATATGCATTTAATATACCAAATCTAAATTAGGCCTGGTGGCACATGCGTGTAAGCCCAGTATGTGAGAGGCTGAGGCAGGAGAATTGTTTGAGACCACTCTGGCTTATAAAGTGATCTCAAAGCCAGCCTGAACTTCATAGCAAGATGCTGCCTTAAAAAGACAAAAATATGAAATCTAATGAACAGAATGGTGTAATAGTGATGGCCTTATTACATTAGCATGACTATCATGCTTATACTGTCTACTAGGAAAACCTAACTTAGAGTCCATTTCATAATAATATATCACATCATTTACTAAATGGAGTACACTGATGGGTATTTATTGTTCATTTTTGGTATTTGGTGGTGATGGAGCAGTGCTTGCTGCTGCTCTCCACAGCAGTCAAAAAAGTGACTATTGCTGCAGTAAACAGGAATATGCATGAATCACTGCAATAGGTCTTTAACTGTTTGTGGAAGGACCCAGTAAAGGAAGCACTGCACTGAGTGGACTTACTACTTTTAGTCTTTTGAATTCTTTGAACACTAACTTCAGTAGTTGTTGAACTACTAGTTACATTTTCCCAACAATGTTAAATATTTCCTTTTCTCCTGCAGCCTCAGGAAGTTTCTTCAGATCTTGTGGTGATTTGTTCTCTCTGCAATGAGATGGTGTCCTTATTTGCATTTCTCTATTGTGCAAAAATACTCAACAGTTCTTCAGGTATTTCTTGGCAATTTGTACCTATTCTGAAAAAGTGTGTATTCATTTCACTTTCCTGTTGGTTGTACATGTCAGGTGTCAGAGAGTAAATTTCTCCCACTCTGTAGGTTATCTCTTTATCCTTTTTGTTTTACTTTTTTTATGGCTTCTATGTTTGTGGAGCAGCATTAAAATCTTATATAATTCTTTTTGCTTGTTTTGTTACACTATCTTATTTTTTACAAAAAACACCCGCAATAGCATTAACGAAAGAAAGCTTCTTAGTGCCTCTACATTCAGAACATGTAATGCCTGGCTCATTCATGTTTCACTATGCTTTACTCTAATACAGGCATGTTTGAGACTGCTGTGCAAATTACCATGAAAAGTATATTTCCTGAGCAAAAAAATCATGATTGGCAGTAGTGATCCTTTTATCCTATCCTACACTTATACTGTTGACCTCAACTTGCTTATTTACTTAAACTTCAAATGAAGGCATAGAAAAACAACTTTACACACTCTGCTAAATCACCTAGCTAAGATGCCTCCCAAAGTCAGCTTCAAAGCCATGAGCATTCCCAACTCATCCTCTCCTGATGCTGGGACTAAAGGAATCACATTTAGTCTAGACTTTATATGTAACTCCTTACCAGTGCAATTATTTAAATACAAGATGATCAAAAATTGCATACTTTTTGTTAGTTTCTATAAAA